CCTGACACCGCGCGAAGACCACCGCGTGGTGCGGGAGAGGGGACGCGAACTGTCCCGCCTTGCCACGAGGTCTCCGCGGCGGTCCGTCCGGGCTGGAGGTCGTGAGGCTGGGCGGGACGGAGAATCCGCGATCCGGGCCGACACCAGCTCAGAAAGGGCTGTGCCTACTGCCAGGTCAGATCCTCGGCTGCCCGGAGAAAGGGGGCTCTCTGGGGGGCCCTGCCTCGTCCTTACCCCCGGCGTCTCAGCCCCGCAGGAGGAGAGAGTGGGGAACGCGTCCCTCTTTTGTTCGTTTTGTACAAAGTTTGCTCCTAGATGTGCACCAGGCTGTCATTGTGTGCAGGTGACAGAGTTGTCCCCGCAGGGAGTCGGGAATGGAAGCAAGGGTCACCTCTGGCGCAAGGAGCAGCTGACCTCTCACCAGATTTCTTCGTTCCACCCAACAGGCCTGCGTCTTAGCCGGCATCTCCTCTGCCTCCCTGGCCTGCCCTTCAGGTCCACAGCTGTCCTGCCCCCTGCCTAGTGGCTGGCAGTCGGGTCCTAGGCTCTTTGGGGCTTTTGTCCTCTCTCCCAACTCCACCCCCACCCCACTCCATCCAAAGCTGCCCCCCCCGGCTGCACCCACTCTCGTTCTCCAGGCCCCTCAGGAGCTGAGGTGATGAGAGAACCCAGCCTGGCTGGCACTGGCCACTGCAGCCGGTGTCCGGCCAGTTCCCCTCTGGGGCAGGTGTGACAAGGGAGAGGGCATGTGGCGAATCACAGCCTGATGGCTGATTTTCAGAGACATGCAGCTCAGCTAGGCCTAGGAGTCCCCTCTGCTGGGGCAGCTGTGGCCACAGATCTCTGAGAATCTGCCTGCTTCTGGCTGAGTTTTCTTAGAAATCCACAAGGTAGAAAACAGCCTGGCACTGGGGTAGAGAGAAGCTGTTCTTCCTCACCCTCTGAAATCCTGTCCTGGCTTGAGCCACAGGCAGAGCATAGTCTTGCTGGATTTCTGTTCTCCTCTGGGTGATGCTTAAACTGCCTGGTGTAGCACCCTGCAACTGCCATTTTGTGGTAAACATCTGCGTTTTGCCAGGGAAATAACTAGTATACACATTTTTTTTTTTTTAATTTGAAACTTGTAGTTAGGCATGGTAGCACACTCTGGGAGGCTGAAGCAGGAAGATCTTAAATTTGAATCCAGCTTGGGAAGCTTAGGACTTAATCAGACTATCTCAAAGTTTTTAAAAAATTTTAAAGGACTAGAGATATAGCTCAGTGAAGGCCCTGGATTCAATCCTAAGTACCAAAAACAAACCAGATCCTGGTGGGGCAGGGGCGTAACTTAGTGCTAGAGCACTTGCCCAGAGTGCACAGAGTACCACAGAGAGCAGTGAGGTACTGTAAACGTGATCAGCGGTAACTGCTGGAGGCCTCAGTCCGGGAAGGCCCCAGGGCCCCAGGCTGTTCACACAAGTGTCTACCTTCCTGGACAAGCCCACTCTGTCCTCCTGTCCTGAGTCATCCGTGTGAGCCCGAAGTTGTGATAAAGCTGGTACAAATTGTATTTCCCAGAATAGCCACTTTTGCAATGATTTAGAACCCCTTTTCGGGCTGGCTTCCCCTGCGCAAGACCTGGGTTCCATCCCCACACCACAAAGAGAAAGCAGAAAAAGAACCAGAACGCCTTGGCAGGGAAGGCGGATTCTGCACAGCAGCCGTTTTAGTATGGATGTGATCACTGTCCCAAGGGGCATCAGGAAGGAGCAGAGTTTTCTAAAAGCGAGTCCCCACCCTCTGCTCTCCAACCTGAGTTCTGATTTTTGACACTGTCGCTGAGTGCCCAGAGCTTGGCGCATCGTGAGTGCTGGTGGCCAGATAAGAGCCCACCATGAGCAGGACGGGGTGCCAGGTGTGTCCCACCGTGTCACACCTCCTGAAGGACAGTCCCGGGCTCACCGCACCCGCCTTAGCACTGGCTGTCACTTGGCTGACTCGGGCCTGCTCTTTGTCCCTCTCCCATCAGGATCCTGTCACGACGATGGGATGTAGCCCCCCAGCCATCGCCACACTGCACACCTGCCTCACAAACAGTGACACCAATATGCACTCGGCCCTCTGCCTGCAGAGACGGCTGGGGAAGCCCCGTCCGTACTGAGCATGCACGGACACTTCTCCTGTCTTGTTGTCACCTAGCACACCTGTGTCCCAAGAGATGTAGTCTGGGGAAGCACACAGCAGAGCCACCCGGGTCCTGCACACACACCGCAGCATTTACACAGGGATGTGAACATCCCGGGCTGTGGAACCTGGGGTCCTGGTGGCCATGCTGGAGGACACAGGACCCTGGTGTTTCTCGTGCACCAAGACCTTGTTCCCGGGCCTGGCCTCCGGCAGCACCCCCAGAAGGCACCCAGGAGGCCTGAAGAGAAGCTTTCGGGTGGTGCGCGGCTGAGTGCCAGTCGCGGCTGGTCTCTGTGTTGGTTACGCAGCTGCGGCGCCTGCCCTGCCCTCGAAGATGCCCCTTGCCCAACTTTTGGGAACCCAGTGCAGTCTGGCTTGTGATGCTGCCTGGGCCTCCCGGAAATGAGCTATTTCCTTAAGCTCCCCGTTTCCTTGTTACTCTTCCTCTTAGACAGTGATCTCCCTTCCTGCTCTGTGGCACAGTCTGTATTCACTTTCCCAGGAATTAGGGAGCGGCTGTTCCCACTGGTGTTGGAGCAAACCGCGGTCTCTGAGGCTTCTCTGGTCCTGTTCCTTTGTGGCCGTGCTGGGGCTCAAACTTAGCACAAGTTAAGCCTTAGCTTACCCTGAGCTACATTGTCAGCCTCTTGGTGTGCTAGTGTAACTTTGCAGATTTAAAATATTTGTCTGTTGGAGGAGCAGCAACTCATTTTAGGAATTCTGCTTGTGGCCAGGAATATAAATTACTGTCTTCAGAGCGGCTGGAGCAAGCTGGTTGGTGGGGGCCTCTCTGTTAGCCCCCTGGGCCCCTGATCAGCGGAGCACGGCCCTCAGGTGGTCGAGTATGTTTGACCCTTGTGGTTCTGTCTGCTACAGTCCTTGTTGTGTCATTTGTCACCTTGAAGCACTGGTGCTGGCCCTGGTGACAGCAGCTGGTTTGGCTTCAGGTCTGCAGCTTATCTGAGTCTCTCAGGCCTCTGCCCCAGCAGACAGCACCCATCAGGGCCTCAGGGCAGAGCAGCAATCGCGAGTCCTTTCTGTGCCTTCTTGGGGCTGTGTGGGGCAGGAGCTGCGAAGCACTGCCCGCAGGGTCTCTGTCCCTGGGAGAGGACGGAGGAGCTCTGAGCTGCCCCCCTGCAGGTCCCTGGACCCCATTCCTCGAAGGCTGTGTTCCCTCTCTGGCGGGAGACTGCCCGACTGAGCTGTACCCTTGACCCCAGGGCGCTCCGACCCTGGGCCAGGACTTTGTTTTCCTAGGCGGCAGTTTTGTCCTGAGCACTCTCACTCCACTGGGCAGTGGTGAGTGGGAGACGCCCAGGTGGCCTGGCCTCGCAGAAGGGACAGCGAGGTCCAAGACTCCCAGCTGGGGGACTGCGCTGCTCGAGCCCAGGGCCTCTCTGCTGCTGGGACCCATGTGGCACCACAGTGGGGAAGAGAGCAGGCCCTGCGACTGCTCCCCTGGCCAGCCGCTGTCATCCTCATTGGAGGCCACCCTGTGCCTCACTAGGAGGTGCGCTGATGGGCACAGGTGTGGCTTGTGGCACCCCGTGTCCTTCTCTCCCTGGGGACTCTGCCAGCTGAGCTTCCTGCTGTGGTGAGGTGGGAGACAAAGCCTGGTTCTCGTGGCATCATCAGGCGCCCAGCCTGGTGTCCTCGCCCCCAGGCCTCCGGGGCGGACGACTCCCATGCTCCCTCAGTGGCGTGAGAACGTCCCCTTCATCCCATTGTGTAACAGGAACCTGGTATGACTGCTCCGATCAGGCCAAGGTTCAGAAGCTGGCACCAGGCCCACTGCCACCCCGGCCCAGCTCTGAGGCCTGGCTTACGTAGTCCCTGGACAGGGTGCTCGGCAATGACGCCTGGTGCAGGCCGCAGCCCCAGGCCCAGCTCATTCCCGCTGGCACCACCGCCTCCTTGTCTACCTGCAGGGAGGCACTGGGGTGAGCGGCAGAGGCAGACCAGCAGGGCGAAGGCCTGCTCTGCCCGGTGGCCTCAGTGTCCGGCCTGCCCTCCTCGGGCAGATAGGGGACGACAGTGATCTAAAGAACCCCGCAGGCCACGGCAGGGTCAGGCGAGTGTGTGCCAGGCCTGAAGCAACGCCAGCCGCACAGACCTTAGCCCAAATTCTCACCAGCGTTCCAAGTCTGACCCACACTGACCTTCTTGGCAAGGCCGGGACAGGGCCAGGCCTACCGGAGATCTCAAGGGGTGCATGGAGTCACCACGTCCTGCTGGGTCAGACTACACTGTGCTCAGGACCCAGCCCAGCCCCAACCTGGACGGCGGGAGCCCAACAAAGGCGCCTCTGTCAGGGAAGTGCCAGTCCCAGCCAAAGAAAGCATAGGCAGGTGACAGCATGCACGTTCGTGCGTGTGCGTGTATGTGCGAGACCGTGGTGACAGGCACAGCAGTCACATGGCCTCCTAAGGATGTCACCCGCAGATGGGAATCCAGGCGACTCTGCCCCTCTGGCATCTTCCCAAGGCTGACCTGGAGCACGGCCTGGTCTTCTTCCTCTGCTCTGTCCCCATGGCCGGCCACTGCTGGGTCTGGAGCAGGGCCGATGTTCTGGGCGTGGAGGTTCCAGGCCTCTAAGCACAGCGCCAGGTGCTGAGCATGGCTGGGACACAGCTGCTATCTGTGTGCCCTGTCTGGAATCTGGTTTTGTAAGCTTCTCATCAGCTCATTCCTATTTATTTCCCCATTTGACTAATTTTTATGTAACTAAAATTTAATGGTCAAGGGTTGGAATTTTCCTCACAATTTTTTTTTTTTGCTATAGTTGTTCCCCCCCCCCTCTCATTTTACACAGGGTCTTCTAAGCTGCCCAGGCTGGGCTGGACCTTGTGACCCTTCTGCCTCAGCCTCCTAGAATTACAAGCCTGCACTACCACACCCACCTGGTTCTTTCCTTTTTATATGTCAGTGCTTTTTCTGATGAATTTTTTAATTCTTCAGTGGTACAGATTTGCTTCAGTGGGTGTCTATTAGCCTTTGCTTGGAAAAAAAGGGAGTTAAGACTTAACGGGCCTGTCTTCATCAAAGACATGAGTTAAGTGATTTGATATATTAAATAATTATAATTTCAAGATTACCCACTTATTTGGATACATACAAATGATCCTACCTGTATGGTATTTTAAATGATTGATTCTGGTGCAGTGATAAACATCAGTTTTACTTGCCCCGAAGTGCAGTGGGGTGGGGGCCTGACCTTCCCTCTCCTTCTGCCCACGGATGCAGCAGCAGTCCTGTTAGGCTCAGCTTCTCCCACGTTAACACCAAGGCCTGGGTCCACGGCCCCAGTGACCGGGCTCTAGCTGCTCGCTTGGGCTGGTCTGCTCGGGTGTGTACCTGGATGTGCCCCTGTGGACGGACTGGACGCTCAGAATATTTCCGCAAGGACCTCACATGCTCCCAGCAAAATGGAGCAGAGGCCATGTGCTCTCCCACTCCGCGCAGTCCCTGTTGGTTCCTTGGAGATTCGTGTGTGTATCATTAGTAATTCCTGTCCCTTGTCTCTTGAAGATGCACATATTAAAACTGCATTATTGCTGTGAATTACTTGCCTCTCCTTAAAGATTCTGGTTTTAAAATAAAGTCAGAGGCAATTTTGTCTCCGTGTCCAGGCCCCTGACGTTCATGGGCTCCCAGACCAGGAGGGTCCTGCTCACGCCGCTGGTGCAGCCCCCACGCCCCTTCCGCGTCTCCAATGCCGACCGCAGCAGCCGCCGTGGGGTGATGGCCAGCAGCCTGCAGGAGCTCATCGCCAAGGTACAGCCTGGGGCCCACAGGGGGACAGAGTGCCGCAGCCTCCGCTCACTCCTTGGGCCTCAGGGCGCTCGGGAGCTGCTTTTCAGCAGCTAAGGATCTAAAGCAGCCGAGGAGACATCACTGTGCGTCAGGAAAGCGGGCTACAGAGACGAGCCAGTGGCTGCTGAGTGTTGCTGTGCTTCTTTGAGGAGGAGAATAGAGGGACTCGAGACGCCCGGTTATGCAAAGGGGTGATCCCAACAGACACCGGGCGTTTAAATCTTAACAATGCTTTACAGTAACAATCGCATGGCATTGGCCAGGGATTTAGCTCAGTGGTGCCACCGCCAGCCTTGTGAGCTCAAGGTCCCAAGCTTGATCCCCGTACCAAAAAAAAACCAAAAACCACACATGACCATGAACCCCCTCAAAACCTCCTCCTCGCTTCAAGCACTCTTATCGTTCTCGTCACTTTCTGCAGCAGCTCTGGAGCTCTCTTTCCTGAGTGTCCTTACGATGTATGATCAGAAATACAGTGAATGCTGCTGCTGATGCCATGCAACAGAAAGGGGCTCATGAGAGCACCACAGTGCGTCCTCGTCCACTCGTCCACCAGATCTGACACCGTGACTCCCGGCTCTTCCCCAAAGTCAAATGAGCATGAAAGGGGACATTTTGAATCGATTCAGGACATCGAGGCAGCCAGGACAGCACAAGTGAAGGCCCTCAGGAAAGAGGGCTCCAGAGCTGCTGCAGGAAGCGGCCAGGGCGATGCGAGGAGGGTGTGCAGGGGGAGGGGGAGGATTTCAGCAGGGCTTGTGGCAATTATCTATTACTGTACTCACCTTTTTAAAATTTAAACATTTATCCTATTTTCTATCATTCCCCCGAAGGCCAGGATAGAATACTGACTAATCTATAACAGTGTCGAGGTCACCAAATACAGAAGAGTCCAGACTCTCCGGGAGGCAGAACTCAGACGCCCATGGAACAGAGACACGTGGCAAGGGCCATACGCACACACTGTGTGCAGGGCTGTCCTGTTCATTCAGCTAAACGAGTGGTGGCTGGAGAATCCCACGGACAGTCACTAACCTCACAGCTCTCAGGAAGATGGGCCCCTTAAACATCTTGATTGATGTCTGAGGAAAGATGCTAACCATGGGCTCTGGTGATAAGTTTCCACCCGAGCGCTGTGGCCGGGTGAATGCCGGGGCCGGGAGCCCTCTTCACACTGCAGCTGCGCTCTTGTCCCCAGGCCCTGGACGTGCTGGTCATCACGGCGGGGCTGGTCACACTGGTGCTGGAGGAGGACGGCACCGTGGTGGACACGGAGGAATTCTTCCAGACCCTGGGTGACAACACCCATTTCATGGTCCTGGAGGACAGGCAGAAGTGGACGCCGGTAAGCAGCCGCCGTATCCTGGGCAGCGTGGGCAGGAGCTGGGCCTGCGGGGTTGAGCCGTCCCTGCACGGCAGCTTGGTGCCCTCAGGGTCACGCAGCCTCCCTCGCCTGGGTGTTCCTGGGCAGCACAGTGCCCTGTAGACGGGAAGCCCGGGCCACTCGCTGTCCTGGGACAGGACGGGCTGGGTGGACCAAGGCCACTGTGCACGTGCACCTGCTGTCCGGTCAGCGTCACCAAGCATCAACTCCCGAGGGGAGGGCGCCCGGCCACGGCCTCGGGGTCCTGGTCCTGGACGGTTGTGGGGCCCCTGGGACCCAGGGCTGCTCAGCTCCGCTCCTAGATCCACTGCTACCCTAGCACACCAGGACCAAGCCTGGCTCACCCACCTTCAGAGAACATTCACCAACCAGACATGGGCGAGGGGAGAGGGTTAGGAGAGAGAGTACAACGCAGGCTGGAGAAACTCTCAGTCATGTATGCCAAAACCTCCCCACTATAAAACACCTAGCAATACAAAGCAAAGTATTAAAGCTTCTTTTCACATCCTCACTGACCCTGTGTAAAGGGAAAAGAAGCTGGCAGAATGGCACATACCTATACTATAGTCCTAGCTACTCAGGAGGCTGAGGCAGGAGGGTCACTGGAGCCCAGAAGATCCTGTTCTGAAGAAGAAAGACAGACAGGGCTGGGTGCCCACACTTCTGTGGGAGCCAGAAAGCAGAGCGTAAAGAAGACCCTGGCAGTGGCAGCTGTCTGGGGGCTTCTCACACAGGGACACTACCGGCCCCATGACAGCTTCCCTGTGACGCGCCAAGGATCGGAGGGCCACGTGAGGCAGGGGCCCTGGACTCTCCTGGGGCTGAGTCTGCCAAAGCCAGGCCGGGCCCCAGCCCTGCAGGGTGACAAGTGTGCGCCTTCCCCACTGGGGTCTGAGCCCTGAGACAGCCCGGCAGCAGGAGTAACAATGCCGGGAAGCCAGGGCCACGGGCTTTGGGGTCTTCCTGGGGGAGCGTGCATCTGAAATTCCAAAGCACACAAGAGATAATCCATAGGAAGGACCAGGCAGGCTTGGGACAGTGGGGCAGATTTCTGGAAATGAAGAAGGTAACAGCGGAGATAAACGGAGACTTGGCGGAAACAAACTGAAGGCGATTTCTGAGGGCCGGCTAGACCTTCCAAAGGGGCTCAGGAGCCAGCGGCAGAGGAAGTCAGGTGAGACAGATCTAGCAGATCTAGTAGAGATCCAGCAAGTCTGGTGGAGGGCTTCGAAAACAAGACTCAGTACACAGCTGTTGTTTAAACAACGCGGGAGCTGGGAGTAGCCAGCTTGATCTACACATGCAAGACCCTGGACTTGATTCCTAGCACCTGGAAGGTACTATCTGCCATTTAAGAAAGTGTTCAAGAGACCATTAAAGAAATGACTCGAAGCCAGGCATGGGGCACACACCTATAGCCAGCACTTGGGAGGCTGAGGCAGGAGGATCGACCTGAGTTCAAGGCTACCCTGGACTTCATAGTGAGACCCTGTCTCAAAAAAGGAGCAGGAGGAGGCACAGAAGAGGGAACACTGTCCCCAACATAACCCCAGGAAGCACTGGTATTCAGCAAATTCGGAGAATGCACATAGCAGCTGTGGACCCAGCAGTCCATTTAAGATGGACCAGAGACAGGGGCAGGCCGCTCGGAAGGATGGTGCAGGAGCAGACTGCGGGGACCCAGCTCACATGTCCTCTCTTGCTGCTGGGCTGGGTGAGCCAGACTCCTGCATTTCCCTCTCGGGGTCCCAGCTTTCCTTGCGTGTGGAGCGGTGGCAGTGGACGCCGGAGGGGGGAGCCCTTGCAGATGCCCGCAGGAGCCTGGAGCGCATGGGAGCAGCCGTGCCACATGGACCTGCAGTCGCCAGCCGGGCGCCTGCAGGAGGGCAGGCTGGCTTCGCTGCCCTCAGGTTGGACCCGGTCACGCCTTGCCTGCATGTGCTGGACCCCTGCAGCCCAGCGGAGCTCTAGCCTGGGGGCCGTGCTCTCCCTGGGACACCGGGGCATCTGAACGTGCTGTCCGCTGTCACTCAGGGCCAGACACTGAGCTGCAGACGTGAGCAGCATCGGAAGAGACAAGGAGACGTCAGCAAGCCTTGATTCACTCACAACCAAGGTCAGCTTCAGCCACATTGCGTGAAAAGTGACTGTTCCAGAACAGAAAAGTCACTGGGCCCCGAGCGGCGAGCTCTGCACATTTGCAGAGCGCCCCCCCCCCAGCCTGCGAGGCAGGGAACAGGGTCGCCCCGCTCTGTGTCCACCCACTGCTGCCTCAGTCTCCTCAACGGTGCCGGAGGGGAGGGCGTCATGCCCCCCCCCCGTGTCCTGCGCAGCCGCACCGTCAAGTGGAGCCGTGATCTGTTGCACTGCGGAAGGGGTCTTTCCCAGGGGACTCTGGCCCCCACTCTGGTCAGGGAAGAAATGCCGACCTGGGCGGAGCGCGGCCGTGGGTTGGGCCTGGGGACTCTGGCCCCCGCTCTGGTCAGGGAAGAAATGCCGACCTGGGCGGAGCGCGGCCGTGGGTTGGGCCGAGCAGCAGCCGCCCCAGCACCGCCGGAGGGCAGATTGGACTTCACCCTGGGTGTTCGCTGCAAATGCCCTTCTGGCCACTTGGCTCCGAGCCTCCGAGCCTGGCGTCTCCAGGGAGGGCTCAGAAGCTGCGTTGGCCACGGGGTAAGCGGAAGCCCGCAGAGTGCGTGTGGAGCTGTGGGCAAGGCGGTGCAGCCGAGAGCTGCCCACTGTGTCCCGTGACCAGGTGTGCAGGCATGCGTGTGCGTGTGTGTGTGTGTGTGTGCACATGTGTGCGCACACACTTTCCTGACTGAACAGAGCAGCAGCTGGGTGGGCCAGGGAGTCTGTGGTGAGCACACTGGCTGTGGACGGGACAGCAAGCTGCTCAGCTGCTGATCCCCACTGAGGACAGCATGGGCGCCAGAAACAGCCCTGTGCCCAGGCCATGCGAGTCCCCGACCTGGACCTGCAGAGGTCACCTCCCCGCACAGAGACGCGGCAGGGCGCCAGCTGTGGACCCTGGTGACAGGCGGGGCAGGCATCGTCTTGCCCCGGGGACTGAACTGGGCGCCAAGGAGAGGACGAGGGGAGGCCCCGCCCCGCAGATCCTTGGTGTCAACTCGTGGCTCCGAGCCACTCCACCTCTGCCGCTCCTCCTGGCCGCAGGGCGACTCCAGTGCAGTGGAGCTCAGCTGGGTCCGGAGAACACAGGCTGACAGCGCCCTGGCAGCCACCAGGTGTCGGCTGTGGGTGGGACTCACTCAGCCCTAGGTAGCCAGCTGCCCGCCAGGCCGAGGGCCTCAGAGCCAAGCAGGCAGAGGGAGCTGCCAGGTGAGGCAGGGAAGCCTGGGGTCCGCACCTCCTTCCTGAGATGAGGTCCCCAGGTCCCACAGCAGCTCCCTCCGGCTGAGGCTGCACAGGAGGCTGGGACATCCCTGACTTTGCATTCTGCCCCCAGCCAAGGAGTGGAGCTCGCGGGTCCCCAGGCTTGTGGCGGGGCTGGGGTGGTGTTTGCCGGATCACCTGTGTCCTCTGCGGCGTGGGCAGAGGGGCCCAGCCTGAGGGTCAGTAGCTGGAATCTGCACACAAGCAGGGGGTGGGGTCCCCCGGGCTCACTGCCCTCCCTGGCCTGGTGGCCCACACTTCTGTCCAGTTGCACTTGTGAAGGAGTGCTGGACAGACTGCCTGACCGTCACCCGGGAGGCTGTCCTCACCAGTGTCCAGGTGGCCTGCAGGACCTCGGGAGCAAGCCCCCGAGCCTGAGGCCGGAGCACCTCCAGGCACTGCACAGCAAGACTTCAGTGCAGGCACACTTGTCATGTCAGCACTCAGGAGGCTGAGGCAGACGTGCGCTTGGGAGCCCCGCCAGGGCAACTGAATGACTTAGTGAGACCTATCTCAAAATAAAAAATAAATGCAGGCTGGGGATGTAGCTCCAGGTGCAGAACCTGGGTTCCAGCCTCGGTACCAGAGAACAAAAACAAAACCCAGGCAAAGCTGGATCTGGCTCGGCCCAGCCTCTGACTGGCGCAGCTGGGATGGACTCCAGGCTCCTGTTGGACGCGGCCACAGGGAGCATGAGGTGAGCCGAGAACAAGCAAGAGCGTCGTGTGGACGCCCTGACAGCTGCTCTGTCACACAGGCCAGCAAGTACGCGCCAGCTAGGCGGCCGCCGCGCTCCGGCATCGCCAAAGTCACCCTGGACCTGTACAGGCTGCACCCCAAGGACTTCCTGGGCTGCCTCAACGTCAAGGCCACCCTGTATGAGTTGTACTCTGTGTCCTACGACATCCACTGCACCGGGCTCAAGGCCATGCTGAGGTAACCAGGGCTACAGCAGGTGGGGGTGGCCCGCAGTTGAGTCTGAGACCCAGGAGGGGCCCAGAGAGCGGCTCCTTCCCCGGGGCTATCTGACCCAGGGAGTCACAGCCCAATGACACAGGAAGGAAGGGGGGGCCACATCACCTGACCCTGGCGGGCCACAGGGCAGGGGAGCCATGCCAGGGCCCCTGGTCAGGATGGGGGAGGCAGCCCCAGAACCCACCGCACCCCAGCTGGGAGCTGACTGTGTGGGAGGGAGACCCCGTTTGTCTGCCCCTGTGGCCCAGACTGAGCCTGTTACACACATTCGAACACCCCAGGTGACAGCTGCCCAGGGAGGTGGCCCACGGGACTTGGGTCATTGTGGCCAGTCCACAGCCAGGTGACACAGCCTGACAGCACGTGCCCAGGACCTGCCATATGGCCAGGATGCTAGAGAGGACCTGGGGGCAGCGAGTTCACTGTCCCGAGTGCTCCTGCCACCACCAGGCAGGGCCTCTGCCACCGTCCTGCAGCCGCGCCTGCATGGATAGCAGCAGATCCGACCCCCGGGCCAGGAGAGGCCGCAGGTCTCCAGGCCAGCCTCAGCCCCAGGCGCTGTTCAAGGACCAGTTCCTTGTCCCTGTGTCCCCGTGGGGATAGCACGGGGCAGAGGCCCTGGAGGGTGCCTGCTCCAGTGCCTGAGGCCAGCTGAGTCTGCAGTGCCCCCGGCCGGCTGCAGGGACTTACGGGCTGAGGCCATTGTCGCAGCGTTGGGATCCTGATGTTGGGCTTCCTGTGCCGAGACAGGAGGATGGCATTGGCTTAATTTTTTTTTTTTTTTTTTTAATACTGGAGATCAAGCCCAGGGCCTCACACAGAATAGTCAGGGGCTGCACCATGAGCTACAGCCCAGCCCTTTCTAAGTTTTATTTTGAGACAGGCTCTCACTAGGTTGCCCAGGCTGAGCTCCAACTTGCCGTCCTCCTGCCTCATCCTCTTCTGGGGCTGGAATCACAGGTGTGGGCAGAGCCTGCTGTCTTCACCTCAAGGTGAAGCAGGAGAGTTAGCTGTGGGAATTTAGGAAACAGGACTGATGAAAATGAGCCTCCCCTGCAACCTCCCATCAGGAAAACCTCAAGGCAAATCCAGGCCTCCTGCTGCGAAGGAGGCCAGGGGTCCACGGCGGGCTGGGCTGCAGGCAGGGACCCACCCCAGGGCACAGCCACTCGCCCCGGGCCCTCACTGCCCCTTCAGCACCGCCTGGGCTTCTGTGGAGCACAAGAGGTCCGGACGAGGGGCTTAGCGTTCAGTCTGCGTAACAGGCTCAGCCTGGGCTGGGGGTGGCCGGAGCTGGGTCTCCCTCCCACCCCACGCAGCTCCAACCAGGGTGGGGTGCGGTGGGTTCGGGTCTGCCCCCACCCCTGCGGTTCCTGAGCCGGCTGGGGTCCTCCAGCCTCCCCTCCACCCTGCTGACGCGAAGCTCCGTTGCAGGAGCCTGCTGCGCCTCCTGTCCTATGCCGCACAGGTGACCGGCCAGTTCCTGGTCTACGCGGGCTCCTATGCGCTTCGCCTGCTGGACGACACAGCACCGCCATCCCCCAAGTCGCAGGTGGGGAGCTGGCTCGGGTTCCTGCACAGATAGGGGTGTCCACCCGTGGGGGACCGCAGGGTGAACCTCCGTCCTCAGCTCAATAAAGTGCCCAGGAAGCCTTGTGTGTGACGGTGGTGCCTTCTGCTCCAAGGCGGGTGCGGCGCTCAGAGAGGCAGGCTGCGGCGGAAACCCACGGGCACTGAGGCGTCTGCAAGGCGGCCTTACTTCGCCGCTTGCCTCTCCCGCACTGGGGACTGAACCCGGGACTTCAGGCAGAGCTCTGTCCTCCGCACTTTTTGAATTTTGAAATTTTAGTTTTATTAGTCCGTGTTTGTGGTACACCGTGTCCACGCTTCTCCCGGGGAGTGGGTGCAGACGCAGCGCCTCTCAGTTCCTTTTACACCACCCCTGTCTCCTGGTCCCTTCCCACCTGAAAAAGATCTCCCTGTTTCCTATCATGTGTCCTTTATTTTACTCTTTAGTTCATTTATACTTTGGATTTCTCCTGTAAGGGAACATGTGATGTTTAAGTTTGTGTGTGTCATTTATTTATTTAAAATTATGGTCTCAAGAGTCATCGATTTTCCTACAAACGACTCAGGTTCATCCTTCTTTATGGCTTAGTAGTACTCCGCTGTGTGTGAGTACCACACTTCCTATATCCATTCTGCTGTTGATGGACATAGAGGCCACTTCCAGGGTCCAACTACTAGGAATTATGCGGCCGTAGCATATCTGAGACAGGGTCTCACCAAGTGGTTAAGTTGCCCAGGCTGGCTTCACCTTGTGATCCTCCTGTCTCAGCCTCCTAGAATGCTGGGACCGCAGGTGTGCACCACCTCACTTGGCCTAAACGTGAGTTTTGAAAGAGCTCCGAGGGGCCCTGAAGCCTAGGCGCCTGTGCTTGGCACCCTTGAAGGTGAGCTTGGCTTTGCTCCGCCTCTGCGCCCCGGTTCAGTTCCCCTCTCCCCTGAGGGTAGTTATCTGAGGGGCACCCTCCCCTGTGGGCACAGGGTCAGCCCAGCTGCCGCATGGACATGGCACCACACACGTAATCGCAGCGCCCGGGGGTGCTGAGACAGGAGGGTGCCGAGGTCAAGCCCACTGCTTTTCTAACTCCCCAAGCCACGCCGGGAGGGGGCGGGGCCACGGCCGCCCCTGTGCTGCATTTGCAGCC